TGAACGACGTCAGCGGCGCGAGCCCGCGGGGCGCGACGGCGATGGCGCGGGCGAAGCTGCGAGACCCAAGACTGGGCCACGACGAGGGGCAAGTCTGACGCGTTGTTTTGCTGCGTGGAGGGGCAGGCCGACGAAGCTGATTGCGCCCGACCTGCCGCGCTCCGCGAGATTCTCGCCCCCGATGCGAAGGAGGACTCGCGCGCGCGGCGGCGGGCGCCCGCGCGCAAAGCAGCGTGGCGCATCGCGCGGGGGGGGGCCGCGACGGGGCGCGCATCCTCGCAGGAGCAAGCAACGACGTCGCGATAATCGCCACCGTGGCGGCCAAGAGGAGTTTCGAGCACAGCGCGCTGGGGGCGCTGCAGATGCGCCGCGACGCGCCCGGCCGCGAGGGGCAGGCGGGCGGGCGCAACGACGGCCTTGCCCCGCGCACAGCGCGGAGGCGCGGCCAGACCAATGCGACAGTTCCTCCCCCCTCCATAGGGGCGGGCGGCTCCGGGCGAGCGGACTTCCATGCTCTGCGCCAGCCCTCAGCGGCATCTGCTCTCCGAGAGGCGCGGGGGGGCGCGCCGGGCAGCCCGCTATCCCAGCAACCCGTCGCGGTGAGATTCGATGGGAAATGCGCGGCGCCGAGCCGCCCGGCCCTCCTCGGGGCAGAGCGAACTATTTACAGGCGGCGGAGGGGCAACGGCCCATCGCCGCGCTGGCGGCCGGCCTGGAAGGGCAGCAGCCCGTCGGGCGGGCCCCGCGCGAAACGAGGACTGGCGACAGCGTTCCTCGCGCGCCGCGTGGCGCGAGGGCGCGGGAAAAGAACCCCCCTTCGACAGAGGGGAATCTGCCAGAACAAGCACCGCCAGAGGCGCGGGGGGTCAGCTGCGGGGCCCACCCCGGCGGCGACCGAACAGCCGCGCCCCCGGCGCGGCCCCCGGAGGCCCGGGGCCGCGAAACGCGGCGCGCGGGCCAAGGGGCATCCTGGCGCAGGCCAGAAGACAGGCACAGAGGACAGCGAAAAGGAAAAAAATAAGAGGACGGGCACGAAGCGGTCACCGCGAGACGGGCACGAAGCGGCCACCGCGAAGGGACGGAGGGGGCAACGGAACGATCGAGCAAACGAGACACTGTTCCAGCTACGGCTAAGGAGCCCAGGGGTCGCCGCAATTAGACCGGGAAAATGCCCGCGCGGATTGCGCTGGGACTCGCCGCGCTGAACGCGCGCGGAAGTAAGCGCGCGGGGCAGATGGGGGGCAAATTAGTCCTCGATCAAAGTTTAAACATGCATGTTTTGGGCGCCCCAGGAAACGCGCGCGTGGCCATGCATAGCAAAGAGTCGCGGAAGGAGTGCGCCCGTTGTTTTCGGCGGGGAAGAACGTCTCGGCGGGGCAATTCGCCCCCGACGTAGGCTTTGCGACTCGTGACGGTGCGATCGAATTCGCCGCGAATGTGGAGCTGGTCAATGACCGCATCGGTGCACTCGAGCTCAACCACGCCAGACCCATGACATGATTTGCACTTTGCGCCCCCGAAGCGCTCAGACCAGAAGAGGAGAAAATTGCGTGCCACGAAACACTTCAGCGCGCACATGCCGCGCGCAAGAACCGAGGGCCCAATTGCGCGCTCGGAGATCTCAACGCTAGAGTGCAGGCCCGATACGGCGACGATGAGAGCAGTGCGGTGGGACCGCGCGCGTTCCACGCCATTTCTGTTGACCCATGTGACATGTCTCCAGCGGCGTGGCAAAATCGCCAGTTGCTCGTTGAGTTCGGCAACCTGAACCGCTTGCGTCTGGCCGACGCGCGATTCCGCGATCCCGACCAGAAGCTGACCGCGCACCGCGCGCCGGGCACCCAGCAGGGCGCGTTTTCTCACCGCCGCGCCTATTTCACCATCGCACAAAGGAGGTGGACAATCTCCATAACCAGTGTTGAAAGAGACACCGAAGCGAATATCAATTCAGACCATCATCTAGCGTGGGCCACGGTTTGAGCAAGGCTCAAAGCGATGCCTCACCCCTGGCGAGCACGAACCAAGCACTCGGACTGCCCAGACGCCTTTCATCACGAGATCGCCGCCCAGCGCGGTAATCTGAGGGGCGTGACAGATTGCGCCGCCGAGCTTGCCAATCTAGCATTGAGGTTTTTGCTGTGGGCGCCGGCGCGAGCGAGAAGCGTCGCGTTCTCGAGCCTCTCCAAGCCGCCCCTCGCTTCGCGAGGGGGCGCTGGGCGCTCGCGGGAGGCCCGGGAGTTCGGAAGGCTGGACAGGGTTTTTGGCAAAAGCAAATGAACGGATAAGAGGCAGTCTCGCAATCGGCTTCTAAAAACCTAGACATCCGAGTCAGATGAGACATCCGGGTCAGATGGATTGGAACGCGCAGCTCGACATCGGGCCACCAACCACAACCTCGCCGCGCAAAAAATGCCCGCGGCAAACCCACCACCGTCGGCCAGGGCGCGGAATCAGAGGCTGAGCATCAAGGGATCGATTTGACCATCCCCCTCGTCCTTTCTTTCACTTCTCCCCCTCCCTATCCCCCCCCCCCCCCCGCCCGCCCCCCGCGCGCCCCCCCCCGCCCCCCCGCCCCCCCGCCGCCCCCCTCGCCTGCCCCGCATTGCACTGATGTCCTTCGCCCCCATCAATTGCGATTGTATTCAGAAGTCAGAGCGGCCCTGAACAAGTCCAAACGTCGCAAGGCTCCTGGTCCGGACGAATTGCCAGTGGAGATCTCCAAGGAGATGAATGACGATGCCATCCGGGCGCAACTTGACACCCTGAATGCGCGGCGGCGTCGAGAGCGCATGCCCCCAGAAGTCTTTCGAGCCAAGTTCGCGCTGGCGCACGAGCCAAGAGACAAACGAATGCGGGATATTTACCGGTCCAATACGTTAGCGCATGAGATGTTAGCCGAGCCGCGCGAGCGGTTAGCCGCGCAGCGCGGTTTCAGGCGGCGCAGGGGCGCGGCGCAAGCGACGCATTGCGTTCGCGATGGCTGAGCACGGAGACGTCACGAACTACAGAGCAAGGCTTCATGGCGCTGTTCGACTTGGAAAACGCGTTCGACAAGGCAACCAGGCCCGGCCTGGTTAACGCGCTGCAGCGCTCGCGTGCGACCCCCAAGCTCGCTGCCGCCATTCATCCATTGCGCGCGCAGAATTCAAGGTGGGCGAGGGGGGCCATCATGAAACAACGCGCGGGAATCAGACGGGGGCGAACGCTGTCGCCGCACTTGTTCCTCGTCGCAATGATAGTCAGGTTTCTGGGCATTCGCTTCTGACTGGACGGGGCACCGGCGGCGAATGGATCCGGCGGGGTGGACGCCGACGACGTCTTGTAGGCAGACGACGCAATTTGCGCCGGCACGGATGCCCGCGCCATGACCGCGCCTCTGGCCGTGATCGAGACGCAGCGCCACCAGCAATGGCTCAAGCTTAACAGAGGCAAGTGCGAGATGGTCACGACCGCAAGCGACCCCGACGTGCATGTCCGCGATGGTACACCGGTGCTTCGAATGGAGGAAGTTGAATAATTGGGATGCCATCTGATACAAAAGACTCACGTGTCCAAAGAGGTCAAGGAGAGGAAATTCATGCACATGGCATTGTCAAGGAGCTCGATGTTTGTTGGCCCCGCGAGGACTGCTCAAAGAGTTTCACATTGCGTGTGTTGGACGCAGGTATGCAGTCTAAACTGGTGTGCTGACTAGCTAGAATCCGCGCGACTGAACTCGGCAGCTCTGGATTTTGGACCATTCGAACGCCTTACAATCGAAAAGGCGCACGCATATCCGTCGCTTCGGAACGATTTATGTCAATCGCGCCAAACGCCACAGTCTTAGATCCTACGAACTCACATGTAACCAGTGGGGCAGGGCAGGGTAGGATCCAGGTTATTTATTGAAGTCCATAAGCACTGAAAGGTGGTATCATGTCAGCGAGTGCACATTGACGACCCGCTCAGACAGGCCCCCTTCGAGGCTGATTCGATCATCTCCAGAAAATTTGGCAAAAAACGGGCAGGGCGCCCGAGCTTCAGGTGGGCGTTGGAGGCTTTGAGAGAGCACTGGTCCCACACGCAATCTATCTTAAACCAGGGTTTAAGAGGGGGGGGCTAACGTCGCAAACCCATCGCACGCGGCCGCAGTCCTCGCCGCAAACATCTGCGGACCGTGCCTACGATGGAAGTATGATCCCCCGGACCCTCCCCTTCCCCCCCCCTCTCTCCCCCCCTTCCTCCCCCGCCTCTTGCTTGCCCGACCCTCGGGGCATGACATATTGTTTGATTTTCCAGCCTTGTTTGGGCATGGCGCCTCTGGGGCGGCGCCTCCCGGGCGCCCATGCGCGCGCCTGCGCGTCCGGCGGGGGCAAAAATATACGCATGCGTTTACAACACAAATTGGTACAGGGCGCAGGTACAGACAGAGGCTGAGTCCGAGGCATAGGAAATGAGAGACAGAGAGAGAGAGAGAGGAGAGAGAGAGAGAGAGAGACAGAGAGAGATGCAGGCAACGATGAATGCAGAGGCGGATACGGAGGATGCGAAGACAGTGACAAAGAAACGTGGAGACAAATAGGCATACCACGCACGGGCGCAAAGTCGCACGCACACCCACAGATTGAGCAGACAACAAATAGCGGCAAACAGAGACAGGCTCTTACTTTTTCATGCCCATGGGCCCATGGAGACGTTCACACATCTAGTCTGTGTACATATACGTAGATATATACATACAACTAGGGCGTATGGACGGCAGAGACAGGGCAAAGAGGTTACAATCGAGCTACCGACAAATTGGCACGGAAGGGGACAAGCGGAGAAACAAATGAAGGGGTGCATGCAAAGAAGGGGGGGAGGGGGGCGGACGATGGGAAGAGCATCGAGATCAGGGGGACAGGGTATCGCAACGGGAGTTGGGGGAAAACGAGGAGGCACACGAGGATGAGGGTGAGCATGTATTGGTTGGAAGTGTGAACGTGGATTCCATGCGTAGCAAAGCGCGGCTCTTGGTGGAGGACCGTGTATTCGAGGGCGGCAAGCGGCTCGTCAACGCGGTCATTCCATTCAAAAAGGAACAGGCGGCAATGCGCTGCGTTACGTTGTCAATCGATGGTTTTGTCGTCTTCACGATGCGTTTTTGTCATCATCATCATCATCATCATCATCATCATCATCATCATCATCATCATCATCATCATCATCATCATCGTCAACTTGTTTGTCCTCATTCCGCTCGACTGCAAGCGGGTCACCAATGCCATCCTCATTTTGGCAATGTCTCCTATGCTTATATCAAGTATTCGCTTTTTGATTGGTCAGCATCCATTGACTCACCCAATGTACCCATCATAACCCCGTGCCTCATCATGTTTTTTTTCTCGCCGTCCACGTTCACATCAGTGTCGTTCTTCTCGTCATCAAGTTGCTTCATTTCGCAGTGTTGTTTTCCTCCTGCTTCCTGGGGAAAAGAAGGTAATCTGGACGAACATGAGAAAGAGGGGGAAGTGGAAGATACTGGGTGGGGGTGGGAGAGGGTGAGGGTGAGCTGAGATCCAGCTACCTCCACGCACCTGGCGGCGCCGCCGGCCTCGGGCGCTCACACCGAGCCGACCTCCACGTGGCCACCTTTCTCGCGCCTTGTTGGGGCCTTGTTTGGAAGCCTGTTTGGGTGCCTTTTTGGGGGGCCTTGTTTGGGTGCCTTTTTGGGGAGCCTTTTTTGGGTGCCTTTTTTGGACGCCTTTTTGGGGGGCGCCTTTTTTGAGAGCCTTTTTGGGGTGCCTTTTTTAGGAGCCTTTTTGTTGGGGGCCTTTTTGTTGGGGCCTTTTTGTTGGGGGTCTTTTTGGGGGGGCCTTTTTGGGGGGCTTCTTTTGGTGCCAAACCGGGTGCCTTGTTTGGGTGTATTTTTTTTGATGCCTTTTTGGGGCCGAGCCCTCGGCTTCTGCGCCAAACCTCACCCAGCACCGATGCTGCAGCTGGCCCTCGGGCTGCCTGCTGCGCGCACGACCGGCAGCCTCGACGGCCGCCTCGCCCTCGGTGTGGTCCGCGTCCTGGGCAGCTTCGGCGTCGGCCTCCGTGGGCATGCTGCGCTGCCGCCGAGACGCTGAAGCAAGGAACGGTTTGGGTTCGGAAGGGGCTCGATGCTCCTTAGGTTCCTCCAGTGCTGTTTCTCTCGCCCTCCTGGGGCACGGAGGCGCTTGCAGGGCCAAGAAGGGGCTTCGTTCCTTTCCTCGGCGTTCCTTCTTTCCGCAGCCCGACTGTATCACGTACGCCGTGTCTCGTGAGCGGGCCTGGCGCGTGCGGTGCAGGCGCCAAGGCGCGCCGCTCCCGCAGCACGGGCCTGGTTCGAGTGCGGCGTCGCCTGCGGGAGGCCCTGCCGCCCTCCCGACGCCGCACGCGTAGACTACCAGCACGTCGCGTGCATTCTCGAAGAGGTCATGGGGTACAGTCGGACTCGATTGGAGAGGGCACGCGAGAGGACACAAGACCCTTCCGAGAGCCACATCGCCATAGGAGTGTAGACGGCACGTGTCGCGAGGCACAGGACACAAGGGTACCCTTGAGCTGGCAGGGTCGACCTACTAATCCGGGCCGACTGTAGAATCGGCCCAGCTGCCACGCCTCTTCGATGATTCAAGTCGCTCCGCGTTCACCGCACCGCCCGCCCTCTCCAGCCCTCGCCGGACGAGGCGGCGGCGGCTCCACGACGGCGTGAACATGTGCAGAAAATCACACAAGTACCCCCGCAGGTGTGTTTTGTGGTTTTTGCCTGCGTTCCGTTGTCGTTCCCAACCCATAGCTTGATAGGGTCAGACATGCCGCGTGGGTGATCGATCGTCGATTTGCCGTTTGGTCGTCGTCCCGTCATCAGTACCGACGGATCAGTGATTTGGACGTTAGCTCTCCGGGCCCTTTTGTACAATCCACACCGGGAGGCCAGAAATAGCCCGAACATTGCCCAAGATCAACCCAACTAAAAGGAGCCAAGCAGGGACCCATGCGGCTGAGGCGGGCGGTGAACGGCCGAAGCGATAGCACGTTCGTGTTGGACCGTAATTCCGTCGGCATGTGATTGAAAATCGGGCTGGTTTGGGGCCGGTATTGGTTTTGTTTTGGGGCCCACCTGAAGGCCAGGATCGTCCAACATTGATCTCGGATCGAGCCCAAAAACGACGTAGGCGTGGGAACAGGCGTATCTAGGCACAGCACGAGTTTTAGGTCCCAGGTAGGGGGTCGGGGCTCTGACAATGCATGCAGGCGTCTGGGTCGATGTCTGTCTTGGACGTCATGTTCTGATTAGGCGTGAACTCAGGCATGACGTGCGGCGTCATGTGGCTTCATGCCATAGCATTTGACACACTGCCTGGGATCTAGTGGCCGTTGTGCCTGGGTTGTGGGTTCCGAAGCCTCTTGGATGCTGTTCGGGGTTGCGTGAAATGCTTTGCTCAGGCATATGGATACTGCATTACTGTATGGTGTCCGTTGGTGCAATCGGTATGGTCCAAGTAGTACCGACGAGGCATCGTAAGCGTCATGTGGATCCCTGCGGCCTTGGATCCGTGGTGCTAGGGAGGTGTGTCGAATGCTTAATAGCTGAAGTGGCATCCCAGTGGTACCGCTGGAGGCATATCGACCGAAGGGAGTGGGGTTGGAAGAGGAGGAGGATGAGGAGGACGCGAAGGAGGAGGAGGAGAAAGAGGAATGTAATAAGGGCGACGCAGGGAACGACAACGACGACGACGACGATGACGGCGACGACGACGACGACGACGACGACGACGACGACGACGACGTGGACGACGACACAGGTAGACCAGGCGCGAACCATAACAGTCTGTGCCTGCCAGCCTCCAGGAGGCCTCTTGGGTGCTTCTTGAATATGTAGGCTTCAAGTGGTACCATTCGGGCACTACTGGAGTCTCTCGGGCCCTCTTGGGGATCTTGTTTGGGCCTCTTCTGGGCCTGTCGGGGGCGTCTTCGGGCTTCGTGAGGGCCTCCTGGATTTTGGGGGTGGCTCTTGGGGCCTCCCGTGGGGCCTTTTGGGGCTGAGGGCTCGAAGAGTTTCTCCGGGCTCTTCCTGTTGGGCCCCCTTGGGCCGTCTTGGGGGCCTCTTGGGCCGCCTTGGAGCCTTCTTGGGCAATATTGGAGCCTTTTTGGCGGCCTTTTAGGCCGCCTTGGAGCCCTCTTGGGTTCTCTTGGGGCCCACTTGGGTCGTCTTGGGGCCCTCTTGGCGGTCTCTTGGGCCGCCACGTCCGTCTTGCGGTAAAAACCGGGCCGGTTCTAGGCTGTGTTGGGTCCGTTTTGGGGCCCGAGTGGGGCCCCGCAAGCAAGCAAGGCCCGGTCGAATCGAATCGGTCCGCAAGCGGACGTGGGCAGAAAGCTATAAATTCGCGTGGGCGATGGGAAATTTGCATGCAAAGCTGAACTCAGAAGTCTTGCGTGTAGCCCTCGGCCTGCGCACGCCACTTCCTGCGGTCTCGAGCAGCGACGTACCATGGCTCACCAAACTTTGCAAGCGAGTACTTTTGCAAGTGATCGTCCCAACGACATGCTGGACGACCTCGTCCACGGCCTGCCCCGGGATAGGTTGAGGGCGGGCTCCAGCTTGATACACGGTGCGCCCAGCTGTCGGGTTTCTGTCCAAGCTGGCCAACGAAATTGTACTGCAGGTGGGCCAGCCTTTCCCGCCAGCTTCGAACAGGGTACAATGACAGAGCCCTGTCGACCTGGTCGCTCATTCGACGCATGGTGACGTCCCAGTCTTCGTCGTCAAGCCGCACCCACCCCACAATCAAGCGCAGCATGCGTCGTTGCAGGACGTCCAGCTGCTCCTTCTGGCGCGCCGTCAGGGCAAGCGTTGGCAGACCGAACAGCACCGTAGGCGGTACGACTGAATCGAAGAGCTTGAGGCGGCGACGGATTGAAATCTGTCTGTCAGTAAGTATACTCCGTCGCTCACGGAACTTGCCCCAAGCGGCCTGCAACCGGTGCGACAACTCAACGTCAGCGCGTTGACGCAAGGCCCAAGTGGGGCCCCGAATCTTCCAAAATGGACCCCGAAGGGCGCTCAAGAACGGCGTCCAAATTCGAACGATGGACAATACTGCAGACGAGCGGGAAAGGCAGAAGAAGCGTCCGGGTCACTCCAGGGGAACGAAAAGCGTGAGAGAACCATCGTATTTGCGATATTTTGTTTGGCATGCCAGCTTTTCGGCGAGAACGTGCCACAAAAGCGCTCTCGATGGCCCTGGGAGCAGGTGTAGGAGGCCAAGAAGGGGCCCGACGGGCCGAAATAAAGCCAAAATGCGCCCCGGAGGCGTCCTCAGAACGATATGAAATGGAGCTCGTCTTGGAAGGCGTTTTGGAAGCGTCTTCAGTCAGGCAAGCCATACGCCGGAACGCGTGGGCGACAAGAGACGATGCCAGCCTGAACTCTCCGCTTTGCGGGAGCAGCGGCACGCCCACCGATTGTTCAACTGCACCATGTGCGGGTGGACAAGAGGAGAGGCGGGGAAGAGCGGGCAGGGGGGCTCACTCAAAGCTCACGCAAACTCTCACTGGCTTGTAAAGTTCAACGAAACATCTCTCCATTTTGTAGCGTCGCGCAGGCACTCCAATAATTCCCCTTCCGTGCTGAAGCCGGTCACAAGTCGATCACGCAAGCACTTCGCCCATTCGTTCCTGGGTCTCCCGGGTCTCCTGCGCAATGTGGTGGTAGTTGATTAGACCGAGCTGGGCACGAATGTGATTTTTCTCAAAACGTCATCTTCGCAAGTTCTCCCAATCTTTCCTAACAAAAGAAGTTGATGCCGTAGCAGCTGCGAGCTGTAAGGTATTTGATGTGTTTTTTCCAAAACCGTGTGGTTTGACACATGCGACCAATATGAATGAGGTATGTTCATGATCTTCCTGAGGCACCTGGCGTGGAGCGCATCCATTCTCCGTCTTTCAGATTTGTTTAGCCCGGCAGAGTTGAAGGAAAACCTGATCTTGGTGGTTATCAGAGCCTGAAAAAGCTGCAACTTCCTGTTTGTAGTAACTGACGCGTGCTTCCATGCACGAGAATATCTGCAAAATTCCC